ATTGGCACTCAATCTCTCCCGGCCATTATATTGGCACGTAATCTCTCCCGCCATTATATTGGCACTCAATCTCTCCCGCCATTATATTGGCACTCAATCTCTCCCGCCATTATATTGGCACTCAATCTCTCCCGCCAGTCAACACCTTATTATACGCGAACATACTTTTATCCGTCGGATTCATCCATTTAAATTTGCGAACAGTTACATTGCATGTGTCTCCCATTCAGCCACATGGGCCAGGTGCAGCCCACCTTTCGCTGTGAATGGGAGGTCGAATAAATAGATAGTGATTGTCCTGTGATGATAGATCGGAATCCGCGCCTCCCCCCAACCTACCTACCCCCTGCCGCGCTCGCCTCGGCGGCCCCCCCCCCCCCCCCCCCCCGCTCATCCGCACTCCCCTCTTTTCCTCATTTCTTTTGGGTGTAAAGGGTGGGATAGGTGAGCATTCCCGCAGATGTCCAGACATCCTTAGGGCACACTTGAACTACCGTCTTCCTCCCAACACGTCGTACCCTGATCATGAGTGTATAGTAGCATCTTTCCAGTTCAATACAGTCATGATGAGAGTACGTTGTGTTCGGGGGAAAGACGGTCGGGCTTTGGCATCTGAATCTGGCTGCCACTGCGTCCTGATACGTGCAGCAAGCTCGTGGTTTCAGTGTGCCCTTGTATAGCCAATGCGTAAACCCCCAAACACAACGCACCCTGGTTATTGTGATGGGGGGGGGGAACAAGGCCAGTAGTGGCCTGCAAAGGTGAAGAAAGCCCGAGATACCAGAATCAAAAGTCGTTAAAATCACGTCCCTTATATATATATTTTTAACTACACTACGTTCTTCTCTCAAATCCTTTTTACAGAGAAGATTAGCATGGCCCCTAATTAAAAAACAAAAAAAAAAAACAAATTCTTTTTGCCTAGGTAGCATTGCCCCTGCCGCAAGGATGACACGCAGAAATCGAGAAATGGTCCAATATACCTTCCTCGGCCTTTCGGCTAAGATCAAGTGCAGTATCTCTTATCTGATCCGTGAAAAAAAAAAAAAACATAAAAAAAAAAAATCATAATAAAAAAAAAAAAAAAAAAAAAAAAAAATCTGATCCGTGGTC